AAAAAAAAAAAAAAAAAGAGGATTGCAGGGTGTTATCAGGAAGAGAAGTGAAGGGTATTGTAAGCAGAAGGAACAGCAGGAGCAGAGGAAGGGAAGTAGACATGCAAGAACTGGATATTAGATGGTGGGGTGGGGGAACTAGACCAGTAATTCAATTCCAATCTGTGAAGGCCCTTAAGAGGCCCTGTCAGAAATGTGGGCCCAGGCCCGTAGGCGGTGGGGAGTGCCCCCTGGGCTTTTCACATCTAGGGATCAAAGCCATGGCCAGTATTCTTAAGATTGAGACCACCAACAATGTCCAAGGGCAGGAGTGTTTGCACAGCTCTCAGGCCATTTGTGTGTCCAGGGTGTGGTGAGGCCAGTCACTTACCTGGCTGCCCCATCTGGGGTTGGGCTGGGTTCAATTCTTCACTTTGAGTCTGGGCACACCTGTAATCCTAGCACTCTGGAAGGCCAAGACAGGTGGATTGGTTGAGCTCATGAGTTTGAGACCAGCCTGAGCAAAAGTGAGACTTTGTCTCTACTAAAATTAGAAAAACTGAGGCAAGAGGATATCTTGAGCCCAAGAGTTGGAGGTTGCTATGAGCTATGATGCCATGGCACTCTGTCCAGGATGATAGCTTGAGACTGTTGGAAAAAAAAAAAAATTCTTCACTTTGCCTCTTTCCCACTAAGCTATGGGCTGTGATAAGTGATGGCTTCACTCCTTTTCCCAGAGCTGAGATGCCCATCCAGCCTCAAAGCAAAGACACAGGAGACATGGAAGCAGACGGCGATTCAGCCACAGAAATGAATGGGGGGGAGGAGGAGGAGAGTGAAGAAGAACGGAGCGGCAGCCAGACTGAGTCAGAGGAGGAGAGCTCAGGTGAGTTCCTCTGTGTGCACACGTGTGTGTACACACACAAGCACTGCCACTCCTCCCCAGAGCCTGCCCTGACTGGCCTCTTGTCCCAGAGATGGACGACGAGGACTATGAGAGGCGCCGCAGTGAGTGTGTCAGTGAGATGCAGGATCTGGAGAAGCAGTTCTCGGAGCTGAAGGAGAAGTGAGCATGGGGACACCTCAGGCGAGGTCTCTGGGCAGCAGGCCAGACCCCAGCAAGTGAGCTGTGGAGTGGCTATAGTCTGTGTTTGCCCAGGAGCTGGGGGGGAGCACGTGGTGAGCACATGGGTGCATGGCTACCTCTTACCTCCTAGATTGTTCAGGGAACGACTCAGTCAACTGCGGTTGCGTCTGGAGGAAGTGGGAGCTGAGAGAGCCCCCGAGTACACAGAACCTCTTGGAGGACTGCAGCGGAGCCTCAAGATTCGCATTCAGGTGGCAGGTCTGTGGGCTGGCCTGTGTCCTGTCCCCTCCCCTCTTGGTCCTGCCCTGCCTCCCCTTTTCTCCCAAACCTTCATGGGCCCCAGGACCCTCAGCCAAACAGGCCCACTTCCTGCCTCCCTTTGCAGGGATCTACAAGGGCTTCTGTCTGGATGTGATCAGGAATAAGTATGAGTGTGAGCTGCAGGGAGCCCGGCAGCACCTGGAGGTGAGCTCTCCTGGGCACCTGGGAATGAGGCCTGAAGTACCCCTCCCAACCCACCTGGCTGAGCCACCCACCCCACATCTTCCAGAGTGAGAAGCTGCTGCTCTATGACACACTGCAGGGGGAGCTGCAGGAGCGGATCCAGAGGCTGGAGGAGGACCGCCAGAGCCTGGACCTCAGCTCCGGTGAGCACAGGGGCCTGTCCCCACCTACACCCTCCTCTCTCTGGACCTCAGCTTCCCTTGATGCACAAGGAGACAGTCCATGGGGGTCCCTATACGGGCTGGATGAGACCAGCCTGGAAAGGGGCTGGCCAAGGACCCAGCACACAATGGGGCATAGGCAGAGTGGGTCCTGTGTCCTCTTCCGCCTCCTGCTCTCATTCTGGACCTGGGCCTGCCAATGCAATGCCACACATCCCTTAGCCACAGTCCCCTCCCTGTCAGCAGTGCCTGTGTGGGGAGGCAGGAATCATCATTGTCCCACCATCTGTAAACAAACAAACTAACTGAGGTTCACAGAAACGCAATAGCCTGTTTCCCAGGGTCACACAGCTGTACAGTCAGGACCTGAGCAGCACCAAGGCCAGGGCTCTGTCTACTACCTGTGTGATAGAGCAGGGAGAGAAGCCCAAGCTGGTGCACAGGGGGGCAGAGGCTACAGGGGAGGGACATCTGGTGGGCCATACCCTCTCCTGACTTCAGTCTGGGGCACAGAGTGGTGGGATGACAAACTACACGCCAGAGGCAGCTCGAAGTCCTGGGACTCTCTGCCACCCAGCAAGAGGAAGAAGGCGCCTCTTGTTTCTGGTATCCTTTCACCCAAGACGGCCTGAAACTGGGCAGGACGCCAGGGTCCACTCAAGATCCCAGGGAGGGGGTTGGAGGGACATGGAGAATAGTCAGACTGTCAGGGGTCCTTAAGCTATGGCCCATGGGCCATATGCAGCCCGCTGAGGACATTTATCTCGCCCGCCGGGTGTTTTTGCTGCCGCTGCCCGTCCTGCTTAGCAGCCAACTCATCCCAGGGCTTACAGACCAGCTCTCCAACGGTCTCAGGGACAGTGAACTGGCCCCCTGTTTAAAAAGTTTGAGGACCCCTAACTAGACTCATGCTGGTTTGACATCACGTGACCATATCTAGGCAAATCCAGCTGTCAGCAATTTCCCGGAAGGTCCTGGGTCTCCCCTGTGCTAAATGGACCCTAGAAAAACAGAAATGTCAACTCAGTGACTCCCAGAATTGCCTGAGTAAGATTTAGCCTTTGAGGCCTTTCTGTCTCCTGGTCTCACTCGCATAGGTCCCAGGCTCTCCCACCCCAGTGCCTCTACTCACTTCCCCCTCTTGGAATTCCTGCCTGTCCCTGCCTGGTCAGGCCCATCTCAAGTGTCACTTCTGTGAAGCCCCTCCAGGTCTTGACCCAGAACCTCTGGCTTTGCTTCACCCTCTGGGCACCTTGTGCCTTACCTTGGGGGTGCCCCTATCCCAGTGGGGACTAGCTGCCTCTGCCCCACCCAGGCAGGGCCCTTTAGTACAGGGCCTACTGTGCCCACATTCCCCCTGCGGGCCCTCCCTGGGGGTGCTCTCCAGCAGCCAGTTTCAGTCATCACAGCTGCCTGGTGCTGGCGGGCAGGCCCAGGCAGAGAGGGAGGAATCTGGAAGGTAGTCACTGGAGGAGCAAAAGGGAGATGAGGGCATGGAGACATGAGGTGGAGAGCCAGATGAGAAAAGGAGGGTTGTCTCAGGGTGGAAGAGATCAGAGTCTTTTAGTTGAAGGAAGGGGCCAGACGAGGGACAGAATAGAATAGGAGAAGGAGCAAGGTTCTGAGGGGGCACAGTGGGCCTCAGCAGCTGACCTGAAGGAGGGAGCTGAGAGTGAGCAAAGGAAATAGAGGTGGGGTGTGGGGCCCTCCAGAATCAGGAGGCCGAGAGGTAGGAAATGGAACCTAAGTCAAACCCTAGTCCACACGGTGTCCTCAGACTCCCAGGCCACATCCTTGTCCCCTGCCCCCTCCACCGGCTTCCCTGCTTCCTTGACCCTGTCACAGGCCCTTACATTGTGTACATGCTGCAGGAGATCGACATCCTGGAAGACTGGACAGCTATCAAAAAGGTGGGTCCAGCCAGGCAGGGGTCCTGCCTATAATATAACTTGGCACTCTGGGAGACCAAGGTGGGAGGATTGCTTAGGCCCAGGAATTTGAGGTTGCCATAAGCTACTATGATACCAGTGTACTCTTAGCAGAGTAACAAAGAAAGACTTTCTCAAAAAAAGAGCAGATCCACTGCTGCCTGGGCTTCAGGAGGACCTGGGGAGCTCTCTGCTCACCCCTCATTCCCCATGGCTTCAGCCCAGGCTCCCTAGATCACAATCAGCTCACAAGACCTCTCTTTGCTTGAAGCTGGCAGGTCGGGGGGGCTTTTAATCTGTCAGCCTCTTCCTTGTCCAGGGCAGGTTTTGGTGGTACAGAGGGTGGGGGAGGTGGTAGAGCAGCAGGCTGGCTCTGCCGGGGGCTTGTGCTCCCAGCCCTCAGTGCAGTGCTGAGCCCAGTGTGGTGGAGGCTCTCAGGGGCTTTTCTTCTCACCCTCACAGGCTAGGGCAGCTGTGTCCCCTCAGAAGAGAAAATCAGATGGTAAGAACCATGCCGGTCGGGCTGCCTGTCTTCCCCATCCCAGCCTTCAAGAGAGGAGCCCAGAGAGGGGCAGTGGCCATAGCAGAGTTGGTGGCTGAGAAAGTTAGGACAGTTTAGGTTTGAGAGGCTTGAGGGAGTTTGGGGAGCAGGAACCAGCATGGGGATGGTGGAAAGACTTTGGATTGGTAGAGACCCTAGCTGGGACCTACAGGTGAGGGCTATGGAGCTGCCCAGAACTCTCCCATGAGGCCACTCCCCTCCATCTCCCACAAGAAGTGGCTGTTTCCTTCTTGGTTCAGCTTCTAATCATGGGTGACAATTTTGTGCTTCTCACATATCTGCAGGACCGTGACCTTCCTGTTTACAGCCAGGAGCTCCCTCGGAGCAACTAGCACCAAACCCAGATTCACGTTTTCCTGCTGCAGAGAGTCAGGCGGCCATGTCCGGCTCTGCCCAGCAGGCCCTCCAGCCGTCAGTAGGATGGATGTCACTGGGATGGACAACTCCTCTGTGTTCCTTGCAGGCTGCACAGCTGTAGCCCTGAGCCACCCTGGCCGGGCAAGACTGTTGTCTGTGTCCCTGAGCAGCACCACCCCTCCTGAACATCAGCATCCTTAATGCTCCCTGTGCCAGGCTGCTTACCTGGGCCCTGGCTTCTAGCCACTGGGATGCAGGCCCCACTGTGTGGGAACTCAGAGCCAGGAGTAGGAGTATTTGGAGGGGCGGGGGCTGAACACTTGCTGGAGTTGGGGGTGAGAGGCCAGGCTCCCCAGGCTTCCTCAGGGTGGTTCTTGGTACCTCCCTCCCAGACTCTGAGGACTGCAACTAAAACCTTCCCTGGGACTCTGGCGTGCCTGTGTGTCTGATTTACCTCACAAGGGAATAAGAGCTTCTGTCGGGAGTGCCTGAGGCAGGCATGCTCTCCCCTGCACTCCTGCAGCTTGGCAACCCCTCTCCCTACCCCATGGGAGCTGGACTCTGGACTGGCCTGTGCCAGTGAGCAGAGTCCCAAGCAACATGGTGTGAAGGGAGGATGCCTGGTGGGGGCGTGCACAGTGCCTGGAGCCCAGTCATGTCTGCACCTGCCCTGGTTGTTTGGCAGATTGGGGCAGCAGCCCATAGTGGCCTGTGTGCGTGGGAGGCAGCCGGCAGCAGCACCATGTGCTGACGACCTCAAAGCCAGACTCCCCCTGCTTAGCGCTGTCAGAACCACCCCCAGAACCTCAGTTAAGCAAAGGGGTTAGTTTCCATGGAGACATGGCATCTTTTCTCCATGGCAACGTGAAATCCCAAAACCCAGGTTGGGCTCAGGAATGAGTCATGTGTGACCAATAGGGGGTGCTATCTCACAAGGCTGACCGCCCCCAAGGCAGTGGACAGATGAGCGACTGACCATAGGCCCAAGGGTGAGGCTTGGGCCTGTGGGGACACAGACCAGCTCTGCTTAACCCCTTCCTGTCCACCCATGAGATTTGAGGTGGGTCAAATCTGCCAGGCTGTGGGCGGCCCTGTGTGGAAGTGGCTCCAAAGCCTGGACCAACAGAGTAGAGCTAGCAGGGAGAGGATTCCTGCCCCTTGAGGCTAGGCCCAGAACAGAGAAGGCCTGGTGGGGTGGACACACAAGAGTTAACTGGCGGGGTGTGACAGGCGGACCGCCCTCAGGAAGTGTTACTCACCAGGAATGTGTGAGCCTGTGCCTCAGGGCTGGATTCTCTTCCTGAGTCCCAGCAGAAGCTGAAGGAGCTCCCAGCCATGGAAACCCCTGGGGAGCCAGGAGCAGGCCCTCGCAGAGCCCCCAGCCTAGTCAACTTCTCGCCTGAGCACCTGGAGAGAGAAAAGTTAGTGAAGTTAGAAGTATATTGGCAGCAGTGGCGAGGGACTGCAAGCAGAGGATCTATCCTCTAGCAGAGGCGTGGGCAGCCAGGGATAGGGTGGGGGGTGGGCAAGGGTCCAAGTCCCTGGCCCACTGCTCAGGTCTGGCTATCCACCTCCAGGCCAGCCCAGTGTCCGCTGTATGACATGCCCAATGCCAGCGGGAGGCAAGCAGGTGGGCCCCAGCAGGCGGGGCGCGTGGTGAGCCTGCGGGAGCGGCTGCTGCTCACCCGTCCCGTGTGGCTGCAGCTTCAGGCCAATGCTGCAGCTGCGCTGCACGTGCTGAGGGCTGAGCCCCCGGGGGTGAGTCTTGCCCCCAACCTCTAGGGACTGGCCAGCCAAAGGCAGGAGGGAGGGGGTTGGGGAGAGGGGTTGGACACAGAGGTCCTGAGGCTTCCAACCCCCCAATCCACTTGCAGACATTTCTGGTGCGGAAATCTAACACGCGCCAGTGCCAGGCCCTGTGTGTGCGGCTCCCTGAAGCCAGCGGCCCCTCCTTCGTCTCCAGCCACTACATCCTGGAGAGCCCTGGCGGTGAGAGGGGCTGGCCTGGCGGGAAGGGGCTGGAAGCAGGGGGGAGTTCCCAGAGAACCGCCTCACTTCCCGCCTCTCAAAGGCATCTCCTTGGAGGGCTCAGAGCTCGTGTTCCCGGACCTCATCCAGCTCATCTGTGCCTACTGCCACGCCCGGTGAGTCTGCCCACAGGCGCCTGGTGTCCACAGGGGCCTTTCTGCCTAGAGAGCATCCTCTCTGCTCCTGTGGCCCAAGCCTCCCTCATCCTGACTTTGCTCCCCTCTCTGGCCCCAGGGATATCCTTCTTCTCCCACTCCAGCTCCCCTGCGCCATCCAGCAGGCGGCCACCCACAAGGAGCTGGAGGCCATCTCCCATCTGGGCATTGGTAAGGGCTGTCCTGCCACCCATTGCTCAGATGGACAAGCTGAAGCCAAGAGGGGAAGGGACAGCATGTGACACCCAGCCTTAGCCTGTGTCTGTTCTTGGTTGGGCTCCCTCCCCTAGCCAGTCCCCAAGGCCTGGTTGGTTTCTCTTCCCCAGAGTTCTGGAGCTCCTCTCTCAACACCAAGGCTCGGAGGGGCCCATGTGAAGGCCTGCTGCTGCCCCAGCTGAAGGCCCGGTCCCCTCAAGAACTGGACCAGGGTACTGGAGCAGCCCTGTGTTTCTTCAATCCCCTGTTCCCAGGGGACCTGGGCCCCACCAAGCGGGAGAAATTCAAGAGGAGCTTCAAAGTACGCGTATCCACAGAGACCTCCAGCCCCCTGTCTCCGCCTGCTGTGCCGCCTCCTCCAGTTCCCGTGCTGCCAGGGGTAGCCCCCAGCCAGACGGAAAGGCTGCCCCCTCGCCAGCTGCTGCGAAGGGAGAACTCAATGGGGTACCGTGTGCCAGGAGACAGCGGTCCTGGCCTCCCGCCCTTGCCTTCCCTCCAGGAGGTGGACTGCGGCTCCCCCAGCAGCTCTGAGGAGGAGGGGGCACTGGAGTCCTGGGGGAGCCCAGCGACCTCACCCCGCCTGGGTCGCCGGCGGCCTCTGCTTCGGTCCATGAGTGCAGCCTTCTGCTCCCTACTGGCGCCCGAGCATCAGGTGGGCCGGGCAGCCATGGCACTGATGCGGGACCGCCACACAGCCGTGGGCCAGTTAGTGCAGGACTTACTTACCCAGGTGCGGGCCGGACCTGAGTCCCAGGAGCTGCAGGGCATCCGCCAGGCGCTGAGCCGGGCCCGGGCCATGCTGAGTGCTGAGCTGGGCCCAGAGAAGCTACTGCCACCGGAGAGGCTGGGTGAGGCCCCAGCTGCCCTGTGCTGGCTCTGCCCCTGTGTCCATCGCTCCAGTGGGTCACCGCCCTACTCTCCCATCCCCCTCCAACATGCCAGCCTGTCTCTGATTCTGTTTCCACCTTGTCTCACCACTGTTGGAGTGAATTCCATGACCTTCTTCTATACTCCACACTGCTGCGCCTCTCCTCCCAGCTCTGCACCTTCTCCCTTCTCCCCTGGGCTCTGCACCCCTACCCCGCCCTGTGCCCTTAACCCCTGCTTGCTCCCTCCTCCACAGAACATGTTCTAGAGAAGTCGTTGCATCGCTCTGTACTCAAGCCTCTTCGGCCCATCCTGGCAGCACACCTTCGGCGCCGGCTTTCCACGAATGGCTCCTTGGGCCGCCTGGCTGAGGGCCTCCGACTGGCCCGGGCCCAGGGCCCTGGGGCCTTTGGATCCCACCTGAGCCTACCCTCCCCAGCAGACATAGAGCAGGTGCGCCAGAAGCTGCTGCAGCTGCTCTGCACCTACTCACCCAGTGCCCAGGTCAAGCGGCTCCTGCAGGCCTGCAAGCTGCTCTACACTGCTCTGAGGGCCCAGGAGGGTATGTCCCCTCCACACCTCCACTTGCCTGCCCCTCTGAGTCAGAGGCAGGCCCTAGGCTCCCAGGGCCTGGAACAGCACAGCAGGAGAGCATGAGCCCACCCTCCCACCTTGCAGGAGGCACCCTCTCCACAGCCACTCCACCAGCTTGCTGCAGAGACCACATTGTTAGGGCCTGGCAGGCAGAGGGGAGGGGTCACCATCTAAGATAAGGATTATCCTCTGACCCTGGGCCTCCAGGAGAGCCTGCAGCTTCTCCCTTACCATGTCCCCATAGGGGAGGGTGCTGGTGCTGATGAGTTCCTACCACTGCTGAGCCTCGTCTTGGCCCATTGTGACCTCCCTGACCTATTGCTGGAGGCCGAGTATATGTCAGAGCTGCTGGAGCCCACTTTGCTCACTGGAGAAGGTAAGAGACCCCGCCTCTGGGGGGCACTGGCTGCTGCACTGGCCCTGAGAAGCCCAGAAGGGAAGAAAGAGCCAATCCCCCACACTCAGCCCAACCTGCCTTCTTCCCCTGTGTCCCAGGCGGCTACTACCTGACCAGCCTCTCAGCCAGCCTGGCTCTGCTAAGCAGCCTGGACCAGGCCCCTGCCCCTACCCTCCCGCTGAGCCCCTCACAGGAACTACAGCGCTCCCTCAGCCTCTGGGAGCAACGCTGCCTGCCTGCCACCCACAGCTTCCAGGTAACAGGCCCTCCACTGCACCTCCCCAAACCAGCCAAGCCCAGAGGGCCCCTGGAACCAGCAAGGCCCCCTCCTTTTCCCAGTGAGGCCTAGCAAGGGGATAGGGCTACTGCTAGGTCACTCTGCAAGAGAAGAAGCACCCTATCCTAATGTTATAGCTAGCCCTTTTATGCTGGGTGCTCTAGGAGAAGCATCCCTGAATCACCACAGGAACTCTGAAGGCGGGGCTGTTACTATTCTCCTTTTACAGAGGAGGAAACAGGATGTAGGGAAGGGAAGGGGACCTCCAGCCCCCAGCCAGGGCTCTGCCTCCCCTGGTTTCAGCCACATAACCACTCTCCCTCTCATCCTGCTCTGCCCAGTTATCCTCAGAGCTAGACACCATCACTGCCCTGTACCTTTCTACTTAGTCCCAGCCTTAGCTAAGATTAGTCCACACTCTGCAGCCAGCTCCTGGATTCTAGTCCTGGCACTACCACTTGTTGGCTGTGAGAGCTTGGGCAATTTACTTAAACAATTTGTGCCTCAGTTCTCTCCAAGATGGGATATTAGTATCTACCTCCTAGGGCTGGTACAAGGACTGTGTGAGCTAATGCAGGCTGAGTGCTTAACCTGCAGTGCCCACAAGCCCACCCTTGGAGCTCACAAAGCTTTTGCCAGCTGGATCTGCCACTGGATTTACCCCACCCCTGTCCCTGCGTGGCATGCCAGGCAGGGCTGAATATCTTTTTTCGCTTCTTCTCCTGCATAGCACCTCCTCCGAGTAGCCTATCAGGACCCCAGCAGTGGCTGTACCTCCAAAACCCTGGCTGTGCCCCCAGGGGCCTCCATCACCACCCTGAACCAGCTCTGTGCCACCAAGTTCCGAGTGACCCAGCCCGACACTTTCAGCCTCTTCCTGTACAAGGAGCAGGGCTACCACCACCTGCCTCCTGGAGCCTTGGCCCACCGACTGCCCACTACTGGCTACCTCGTCTACCGCCGGGCAGAGTGGCCTGAGACCCAGGGGACTGCATCAGAGGAGGGCAGTGGGCAGCCAGAAGTGGAGAAAGGGGGCCAGGGAGATGGGGACATTGGGATGAAAGCCAGTCCCAGGGACAGGATGGGAGAGCCTAAGACAACTGCTGAAGACAACGAGGGCCAGGCCAGGGGCAGCCCTGCTCAGCCAGGGGAGTCAGGGGCTAAGGGAAGCCAGACAGCTGAAGAGTAGCTAGAAGTGGCTAAAGGATCCTTTGGGGCAGAAGACTCTGAGCCTGCTGGAAAGGTCTTTCAGAGCCATCACCCTGGCCACTGCCTCCTTGTTTACCCCCACCTGGGCCCTCTCCTGTGTCTGCCTTCCACAGTTCTCTAATACTCCTCTCACAAGTCCACCTGCTAGGAACACAATGGCCACTTCTGAGGGGTTGAAGTAACTGATGAGGAGGGTCGACCCCTGGATTATGTGCCTGAGACCCCTTGCCTCGTTTTTCTCCCCCAGCTGGAGGCTAGCCAGCCACAGTGGTGGGTGTGCCAACTGAGGACAAATCCAGCTGATGCCAGCCTCTGGTTGTCCCAGTTCGTTTTGCACCTTCCCCCATGGGCACAGCCCAGGTGGGGGCTTCCAGGCCTTGAAAGGCTACAACCACTTCTGTGTGTCAGGGAGGCAGCAGAATGGGCCCTGCCTTGGGCCTTTGGGAGGACCCTCCTCTTTAATTATCAGAATTGTCACCTGTCCAATGGGGATAAGATACCTGCTGTGCCCCTCTCCTAAGTGGTCCAGGAGTCAAAATGGATGATTTTGCTACAAAACAGAGCCCAGACTAGGGAAAGAGGGAGGGAAGGAGTTCTCTTCCAAGAGTCTGCTCCCTGCAGAGCAGGGCTGTCCCTTTCTGGGGCTATGCCGGTCAGTCCAGGGAGAAAGCACCCAAGTTCTAGTCTTGTCCCCAAGATCAGAAGTCGTCCCAGGCACTCCAGCATCCCAGAGAAATTGGGCATGCCCACAGCAGGCAGAGTAAGCTTCCAACATGAAGAGTAGGGCTCAGAAGCCATTTTCTCTGCACTAAACTCTTGGCCCTGTGTGTGGGAATAGGCAGGGCTTGTTAGCCCTACTGAGGTTCAGGAAGGTGACTCCTGGGACGTCACTCAAACCAGGGTGTTAGGCTCCAACTCCCCCATTTAAGCCCTAACAAATTAACCCTCAAGGCCAGGGCAGCCCCAAAGGAGTGCCCAGAGTAAGCAGCAGATGTTAGCAAAAAACTGGCATCCCTCAACCACAAGGTGGCATGTTCGGCCCAGGAAGCTGCTGGGTGGGTGACTGCTGAGGGGTGAAGACAGCTCAGAGACACAGCAGAGGTGATCACTGGCCTTACACTCCAACAGCCACCAGATAACCTGGGGGCAGCACTGGGGCAGAGCTTGCTGGCCATCAGGTCCCTTGGAATTGGGGGTTTGGGTGAAGCTAACCTCTAGGGACTACTGCCCAGGAAGGAGTCATCCCTGATAGAGGACCCAGCCAGTTTTAGAGACTGTCCCATTGGGTGCTCATCACGAAGGGACAGCAACCCTCATGTCAGACACGACAGCGAGGTGCAAATTGTGGACACTGGTGCCCACGTGTGGCAGCTCTGCCTCCTCACTTCCACGTCCTTCCTCAGCCTCTCGCTGGCAGGAGGTTACTTTGCTTCTATCTGTTTTCCCTCCCTCCCTCCCCACCCCCAGTGCTTTGTACGGTACAGTGCTGTGCACCCTATGGCACTTAATAAACCTCCAGACCTACTGGAGCTTGGTAACTAGGGGTGAGGGGCAGCGAGGTGGTAGCCTGGGGAAGGAAGGAGGAGCTGGGTTCTGGGAACCAAACATGGAGTGGATCAAGTTCAGTCCCAGAGGAAGGACCTGGAATGTTGGCAGGGAGTGCTCAGAGGACCCCAAGGGCCTCACATGGAGCTGGGCTCATAGGACCAGGTTCTGGGCCCTTCCCTCCCTTGCCCTGCTCAGTTGTAAGTCCTGAACTCTAGGAATTGGGCATGTCCACACCCATGTCTCACTGGAGCCCTGACCAGGCCTGCCCACTGCCTGGGGAATTTAATTAATCTCAAGAGTCTGATGGCTCGGCGCCTATAGCTCAACCGGCTAAGGCGCCAGCCACATACACCTAAGGTGGCGGGTTCAAATCCCCAGCCCGGACCCGCCAAACAACAATGACGGCTGCAACCAAAAAATAGCCGGGCGTTGTGGCGGGCGCCTGTGGTCCCAGCTACTTGGGAGGCGGAGGCAGGAGACTCGCTTGAGCCCAGGAGTTGGAGGTTGCTGTGAGCTGTAATGCCACGGCACTCTACCCAGGGGGACAGCTTGAGGCTCTGTCTCAAAAAAAAAAAAAAAAAAAAAAAAAGAGTCTGACTGGCCAGGAGGCCAGGCCAAACCAGGAGCAACTAGGTCATGACATAGGGGCAGGGCCTCCAGGCGGGGCAGTCTCACTAGTTCCACTTCACAGATAAGGAAACTTGCTCAGGCAAGTGGCTTGTTACAGGGCAAAGGACTGAGACATCCTCCCAAACAGGACTCGCTTGTGGGTCCCCTCAGCAGTAATCTGTCGAGTGTCCTTTATGGACCAAGCACCCACAGCCCCAGTGGAAGGAAGCAGCTAAGTGTCCATCCTTCCAGAGATCTGGGCAACAGCAGACATCCCTCTGGGGATTCTGCGCCTTGCTCCCCGACCTGCCATGTCTTTTGTCCTCATGGAAAAGGAAGCCAGGGCTCCAAGAGCTGCGGTGGTGACCCAGCATCTCCTGCTGCCGTCAGGACCAGACCCTGACTTGGGCCTGTTGAGTAGCAGTCAAATCATTTCCTTGCCGGTGAAGGTTGCAAAAAGAGCTCCTAAGTCACTTTAGTTTTTCCTGAGTTTATTGTCTCTCTTTCTCACCAGAATGCCAGTGCCAACTAGGCCTTGTTCCCAGCTTAATCTCAAGGGCCTAGAACAATGCCTGGACAGGAACTGGCACTTAGGGAATATTAATAGACCTGTAAGGATTGATTGGGAAGACTCAGCTCGTTTCCGGCGTTGTTGGGGGGAACGGGACAGTGTGCTCTCCATCGCCGCCGCCAGGAGGCGAGTGCGCCCCACTCCTAGGCCCGCGCCGGTCTCTAAGACTCAGGCCACCCCGGGACCTGCAGGCCTGGTGACAGGAGAGGAGCCCCGCAGCCGGGCCCCGCGACGTCCTGGCACAAGGATCCCGCGAATGGGGTGTGGGAGAGGCTGCTAAGCCCAGGTTCTAGCAGTGGGGTAGGTGGAAAGCAATCACTGAGACACACACCACCATCCTGGCCACCTTCCACACAGGGTTTAACAGCTTGCCTTGGCCTTGAGACCTGTGCTCACGCCCACAGTGCAACACACAGTAACACTCTGACCCACATTCCCACACACAGAGTGTGACACCCAGCCACAGGCATGCATGACACCACTCGGGCATTCCCAGGGTTAGTGGCACACCCTGGCATCTTTCTGTTCATGTTCTACTGGACAGGACACAAGGACACACAGGTGCCCCTCCTCCAGTTCCCTGACAGACCAAACACCCACTCAGACATCCCTAGATCTGCAAACACAGAAATATGTCCTCAACACCTTCACTTTCAGGTTCAGAGTGTGACTCCCTGACATGCACAAGGTGACACGCAAATATGACACACTCGGGGACAAGCTGGCACAGAGACATGTGTCACAGAGACCCCATGACACACTTAGACCTCCCCATGCAGAACTGTCACTGACACCCCAAACCCTCCACTCAGACACAGCACACAGCATCCTCTTCCTGGGCAAGCACTGCAGGTGTGAAAACACTCGGGCATCTGTCGCCCACACCCAGAGGCACAGACATACCTTTTATACTCTGAGCAGAAAGAAGTGGTATCAGCCTGGCTCCTGACTCATCTCACTCCCAGCCCTGGCTACTCCTGCCGCTGCACACCCACCCCAGCCCATGGTGGCTCCCAGTAGGGGTGAGTTGCTGAGAAGACCCCTGTGAGAGGCATGGTGACCCCACTGGCCAGGCCAGAGGCAGAGGCAGGCAGCACTGGGCGGGGCTGTCTGAGCTCATCAGATTCCAGCCTGAGTGATTCACTAGGAGCGCCTGGGGAGGACCTAGGAGGGGGCTCTGGCCTAAGAGCTGGAGCTTGGGGGCCTGGGTGGGCGTTGGACCAGGATCCTGGTCTGGGTCAAGAAGAAGCTCCAATCTGGGGTCGGGGGGCTTCTTGAGGGGATGTCCCATCCTGAAGAGATGGCAGTGGGGTAAGGCTCCCAGGAGGGGCCTAGGACGCAGAGCTAAGCCACAAGATGAGACAATCAGTGCTTCCTGCCCACCCCACCCAGGGCCTAGGCCCCTGACCCCACTCCTTCCTGGTCCCAGCTGCTGGGTGTCTTTAGCAGGGATTAGGCCAAGTGTGGGGGCAGGGGTGGAGTGACCCTCATAGTTCATCTTAGGCCATCGAGCAGGTAGTCCAAATGGACTCCAGAGGCCCCAAAGGGCTGGTCTTGCCTGCCCCATTGGAGCCGACAGGGTTACAGACCCGCACTGCCCTGCCAGGGGAAGCCCTGCCAGAACCCAGAACACATAGCTGTCCCACCGCCAGGGATGTTTTCCTGCTGAGATTGAGGCCTCTGCTCCTGGCACCTCCAGACCCCCCTGCCTCCCAGGCCAGGCTGATGCTCAGAGGAGGTAGAGGTTGAAGACACCCAGACCCAGCTGCAGGGTGACAGGAAGAAAGGATAGGGCTGGGGGCAGGCAGGGGCACAGGAAGTGCCTTTCTGGGAACTCTGTACCAAAATAGCCCATTCGGTCCCTACTCAGGTCTCAGTGTCCCACGAGGGAGGTGTATGTCACCAAGGAGACCCTCAGAAGAGAGGAGCCTGCACTGACCTCAGTCTAGCTTTTTCTCACCAACCCCTCCCACCCTCTCCACCCCCACCACAGCCTCTGCTCCACTTTGAAGTCCTAACATAAATATCATGTCTGCTTGGGTTCCCCTTCCAGGCCTGGTCATAGCCCCTGGACCTGGCTCCTGCTCCAGCCAGTCCTGGGGGACACAGTGCAAGGAGAGAGGAGGTTGGCCTGGACCTCCCAGGGAAGGTGCCTAGCCAGAGACAGGGTGACTCTGGAGATGGAAAGGAAGTGAGCAGAGAACAGAGAGACAGACCCCAGAAACCAGTGAGGGAACAATCCTGGCAGCAGGAGAGGAGACAGAGAGGGAAGAGAAAGCAAGAGGGAGAAAGAGAG